TTCGCTCGAACTTTTGGCTAGCTCGAATGTCATAGGCTATCTCGACCTAACTGCCTGCGAGTTGGGATTGAGATCCCCCGGCTCGACGCGACCGAGTCTCAGCCAGCGATGATCGGTGCTCCCACTGTGGTCCGCACCAAAATTGTGTCGCAGGGAAAAATTGTTTTCTTCAGTTGAAGTCATTGTTTCTCCTTTAAGTAAACTGTTTTTTTATTACAAAGGATCGCGAACTCTATTTTATAAGATCGCGGTTACGAACAAAAATCAACCCAGAAAATAAAAAAAGATTAGCAACTTTATTTTGCGAATGACGCATCACGGAGCTCCTGTTTTGTGGGTCCTCGCTTTTGTTGGGTTCTTCGCTGCGCCGGGGTTAATACCGTCGGAGCCACGCCTGCCGATCTAGATCCGGTCGGATCCTATACGATATAACGGGTGTTATCTCACAAAGGAAATAAACCCGGGGGTACTTCATTTCATCCAAGGCAAATAGTAGCCTTCTCGGGATCAAAGGCCAAGCTTTGATCCGAAGGATAACCGGTAGATCTAGATCCGATCCCTCTCGAACTCACTGCCTTATTTGACGTGGGAGCGATCGGCCGAGCACGTCGGATCTGAAAAGAGCAAGGTCTTCAAAAGCTTTCAAATGTCCAAGGTTCAGATCTCAATCCAGCAAAGCTTCACACTTCAAAAATTCCAAACCCTTCAAAATGAGCCGCCCATAGGCCTTTTATAGGCCACTTAAAACTGTGCCTTTGGCCACAGGTGGGCTCGGCCTCGGTGCCACCGAGCCACTGCTTGTGCTCGCTTTTTTGGCCGAGTCCTCCAGGTGTTGTGCCGTGTTGTCTGTTGTCCGGTTTTATGGTTTCACAGTTCATCTGAACTCTGATTTGGCAGTCCGAATCCCGATTTGACAGTAAATCCGCCTTGGAGTTCGAGTTCGAATCCGTTCTACGGTCGGATGACTCGTTGACTCACCGAACCGTTAGCTTGATTCCGCACGCGAATAGATGCATTCCGTTGCTTGCGTACGATTCGTTAACCTCGTCTCCTCGTTAATCCGCTTCGTTGCGTGTCACTTGGCTTCGGTGTTGTGAACTGACGCTCGTGTTTAGATACGTCACCCGATGGTTCGTCGGTTTGTGCCGAGCTGTGCTAAGGGACCTATAAGCAGTTTTATACGCCTACAGAAACATCTCTGCCATTGCTATGTAATTCTGATCTTTTTCATATTATATGTATCTGTCATATTTTAAATTTAATTGATCAAAATACATTTAGTGAAATTAAACCCATGATAGAAAAGGTTAGGTCAGCAACTTATGCTTATAATGCTTCTGAACAAAGAATTAGAAGATGGAAACATCATTGTAAAAGAAAAAAAATATAAAACCCAGACTAATTCTAAAAGATGTTGGCCATAGGTGGAATTTTACTTATGCAATGTTAAGTGTAGAATTAGAATATAAAAAAGTTATAAATGATTTTATTACTTTTTATACTTCTAGTTCTACCTTTGGTAGCATGTATGGAATAACTGAAGATGAATAGACAATCATAAGTAATTTAAAAAAGATTTTATAAGTTTTTTTTATAATACTACAATGTTATTATCTGGTTGTCATTATCCAACCATTATTTTAGCTGATTTACAAATTTTAAATATTCAAAAAAATTAATAAATATCGTATGGATGATTATTTTGGAAATTTAATTTTTCAAATGGAAAATAAATTTAATAAATATTTTTGGCCTATTCCTCTAATTTTTGATTTGGGGGTTCTTATTGATCTGTGTTTGAAGGATATTAGCTTTAGAAGTTTGTTAAATTCCTTGTATGATGGACAGATTATAGACATTGATGATGATCAAACCATTACTGCTACTACTCATCATAATACTATTTGAAATTATTTTCAAAGATTTTATGATGAGTATGCGGCTAAATATGGTGTAGCTACATATTAGTCTACATCTACGACTTCTTCGAGCTCAAGTCGGGGCAAAGTGTAAGTTTTGATAGATATGCAATGGTAGTTGAGCTAACTGATGGATCTGGACTTAGATCATCATTGGAGGTTTCTGAAATTGATCAATATTTAACTGCATCTTTAGTTAAATGTCAAAATAATTGTTTAGATATTTTACAATTGTGGAAAGTATATGGAACAGTTTCATATCTTATACTTTCTATCATGGTTCGTGATTTACTAACAGTGCAGGTTTTAACGGTACCTTTGAAATCCACCTTCAGCACAACCGGACGTTTGATCGACGACCACATGACATCGTTAGATCTGTATACTACATAGACGGTGATGTGCTTACAAGATTAGTGGAGGTACGAGAAGAGAACGCAAGGAATTGATCGGATGACTAATATTGAATATAGATTTGAAGAGTAGAGACTAGCAGAAAGATATAAAGAGTAAACAATATTCGTCAAATTATAATTTTTATTTCTTAGCTAAAAGTTTGTAATAAATTATTTTGAAAATAGTTACAAATGATAGTGATATAGGTGAGTAGGTGTCAACCTAGTTGGGATGTACTCATCTATTGTGATGCGACGAATTCAAAAATAAATTTATAATTGTAAATGATTTACTAATTATTAATAAAGAAGTTATTTTTATAATTTTAATTTTTATAATTTTTTGTATCTATAATTTATGTAATTTCAAGTGATTAATATTATTATTATTTTTATTAAAATTTTGTGTAATTTTTTATGTATTATTGAAAATTTAAAGGAAAAAATAAAAAACAAAAAAAACTGGGCTGGCCCGGGCCCGGGTCAGGGCTACGATTTTGCCCGGCCCGGACCTGGTTTTTTGGGCCGGCCCGTTTGGACACCCTTATTAGCCAACATCGAGTTGCTCTCGTTAGGTTCCACAGCTTGCAGGCGCCAACGGGCCCACAAGCCCGGGGCGTGACAAATGATATCAGAGCAGGTTGCCAGCCAGAAGTGTGGAACTAAGTGCTATACAAGACTAAATACTTCATCGCGCACTGGAAGTATGGATGCGGTGGGAGCCACCTTTAGAACTTGTAAGAGCCATCTCTAGAATCCACATCGCCTGGCAGTGACACTGAGATATGTCAATTGTTATATCACAATGACCAGGACGTCATCTTTGTAAGGCAGGGTGATTGTGATACCCCTATACTTTAGTCCCATATGGACTAGTGTGAAAAAAAATTTATGGTTTAAATAGAGAAAAGCCAAGACTCAAGGGTAACCAAGTGCTAGCATTTTGGTAAGTAGATGTTAGCCAACATCAAGTTGCTCTTGTTGGGTCCCACGGCTTGCACGCGCCAACGGGCCCATGAGCCTGGGGCATGGCAATAGATGACCACTAGTAATGGAGGGTGGTCATTGTAGTCTTAGAGACACTGGGCTGTCTGGGAAGGCTGTCATGAGCATCTGCTACTTTGGCTACTATTTCCTGTTGTGATGAGACAATACCACACATACGGGGCAGCGTCAGGAAAGCAGGTGATCAACAGGCTCAACTATTCATGGCCAGAAGAAGATTGATTGACATGTATTCTGGTTGCATGACTTGTCTAACTATTATACATGTCGAGGACATGATTTAAGAGTGAGATGAATCGAGAATAGAACACAACGTTCTTGTATGCTTTTTTGAGGGATCAAAGGTACTTGAACAGACCTGGTTGATCAGATCTGGGGCACGTGATATCGCATACTTACACTTTTTGTTGTGTGTTTTCTTTTAGGGTGATCCTTGTATCGGTCTATCTACAAGGCTACCTGCTTGTAGGTTCTCAACGGTCCACACCACACTAACGATGTATGGACATGGATTTGAAAAGAAATGTAGATTCTCAGGGAGGCTTTGACTCGAGAAGTCAACAACTCAAGGAGTCGGCTCAGGGAGCAACAGACGGCACCCACTCATTTGTGTAAGTATGAGTATGTTGGTTATTATTATGAGATGGACACCCAAATAAGTGGGTGGATAATTTCTTATCTTAGATATAAGATATTCATAAATTTAATAAGTGTAGGCTTCTATCTCTCAGCCCTTTACATATAGATATATGGTTTTCATGATGGGAATACGAAAGAAAATAGTATAAACCTTCACAATGTCATTATCTCCTTCTTCGATCACATTCTTGCTTTTTGCAGGAGTCGCAGGTGATATGCGGGGGCTTCTAGCTGGTTACACGGTGTGGTTGCCCTTTGGCCATTGATCAAGAAAAGTGTGGTGATCCTACAAAAAAAAGTCTGAATCGTTAATCCTAAACTTATCATTTATGTTCCTAGATGCATGCTAGGGTTTTTTTTATTTCCGCAGTGCACTGTTATCTAGTAGAACAACTCTATTGTGTGCGTGTAGTTATCCAGATCCTACAAGTTACGAAAACCATTGCTATTAATACAAGAAATCATAAAAAAATTCAATTATCAATTGTGAGGGATGAGCTTTCTTGAACCACAATATCCACAGTAGAGATTGTAATTTGCGAAAATTAATTAGACCATTGAAAGTAATATCACAAATAGTTAAACTTTTGGAAACAATTAAAACTGTTTCATAATATTTAGAAGTTCTAAGAGTGAAATAATATTATACCAACAAAGAATAGTATTCCTATACATATTAGACTCGCCAAACAAATGAAAGCTTGAACTTCAATATGGCGATAATAAAATAAAGTACAATTATAATTATTTATAAAGAATCACAATCTCAATACCATTGTCAATAACCAATTCTATCGATATGCAAAGTGCATTGGGCACTTCAAGAATGAAGCCCATAGAGTCATGAATCTATAACTTACATTGATAACATGAAGCAACAACTCTCTTCCAATATGTAGGTACAATCTTTCTCCATCATCATGAATAAAATCTCTACTTTCTTGGAATATATTGTAACTGTAGTTGTCTCCTACATCAAATCAAAAAATTTACATCCATTTTATTTATCTGATGTAATTTTTGTTAATTACTAACAGTTTAATGCTTGTAGATTCTTATAACATTATGGAAAGGGTGTGTTTGGAGCTTGTCAAGCCTTAGTTTGTAGAAACCTTAATGAGTATTTTGGATTTTTTATGGGATTGTCAAATTTTCATGGGTTTATATATGTACTCATACATTAGGTAGTGCGAAGACTTAGCACGACTCTAACGTCATAAGCTTGGATTTACATCTACATCATCAAAAATTACTTTTAGGTATATTCTTGTGAAAGTATTTGATTGAGATTGAGATTGGTTTATTAATTTGAGTGCCTCTGATTATCCGCTTGTGACCCAGGATGGTAAGTTTTGATTGGTTTATTGGGGTTTTTTGGATTTGGGTTTGTTTATTTAGGTTTTGTGATGTTTGATTGTAAATATGTTGCTCATGTTCTCGTATTTTCCGAGGGATCTGGACTTTATTGATCATACTAGCAACATGGGATGGAAAGAGTATGTTTTGCTGTTTGTTTGTTTGTTTGTGTGTGTGTGTGTGTGTGTTTGTTTTGGTGGATTGTTGAGATGGGTTTTGTGCAGGTTTCAGAGGGCAAAGCTGGTGACAATTGATCTAGGGCTATACATTTCGAAGAAGCAGGATATGTTCTGGATTACTCAGCGGAGGAGTGTGCCCACTGCCTTTAAACTCTTTACAGGTAAATGTTTTGTTTCGGAACTTGATTTGAACATGAAATGCATATTTTCTACTAACGTGTAATTGATTAATTGGCTGGATATTAGGATTGATATGGATCTTTTGATTAGTTGCATGTAACATTAGTTTCTTGACAAAAAAAGGTTGCATGACGGTGCTATAGGTTACCTGTTGTACAGATCTAATTTCGAGATTAGAGACTCACTAAGGTTATAATTTGCCTTATATGCAAGTATGTTTGAGAGAACTGGTTATGAAATCTCAAATACAAAGGAAAAATATTGCAAGTGATTTGCTATTGTGATCCCAAACATGCTTAAAATCGCAATGCTGGAGGATCAACAATTTGGTGTGTACTCAATCATGTGTGAGAAATTGATTCATGGCATAAGAAGTATGAAGCTTGTGTATTGATCAGTTTGAAGCTTAAAGGTAGGTATATGGCTAATTTGTTTGCAAGTGATTTTTTATGAAGAAAATCAGCTACCTATTGACTATATTCTAACAGTCAATTAAATTTATGTTTAACGAAACTCACATATATAGATGTGCCATCCTTTGAGAATATATATTTTGCAAGAAGATATTGAGATGCTGATCACCCCAGAGAAGCATTGGTAATTATGTCCACCAAATGATTCGTTATCTCAAGGGTCTGCTAATATTCTATATCAGGTTAGGATGATTAAGTTTCAGGACTGGTTTTAGTTGTCAAGTACTTAAGGATTCAGTTTTGAGTTGTGAATTATTATACACCTTCTGCAAATGACTAATGGCATGGGTTAATGTCGTGATTGTAGTAATAGAAGGACATATCAGTAAACATCTATGACAAGTGTAATGCTACTTAGCAGCCGAATTCTACCTCGGGCTATAATCCTGACTTGGTTTTTCTACTAAACGCCCGTTTTTTGTGGCAGGTGCATTTATCCCTGTAGTAGGCATTTTGTTGGTTCTTCTCTCGGGTGCAAGCACATCTGATGGAGGTGCAAGCACATCTGATGGAGGTGCACCTTCTTTTACTTATGGTATCAATTATCGGCCTTTGTCCATTCTCTCCTCATAAAGATTACAGGTAGAGCAATGATCTTATTGTAGCTCCACGCTTTTGGATCTAACCTTTTCTCAACTATTTTATCGATTTACTTGTATACTTTCTCCGCTTTCTCTTCATTTTCACATAATAATCTAAATGTCATAGTTATTTTTTAACACATCCAGGATCAAGGCAATCCTCTGTTGGAGTTATAATAAAGTGTAACTTAAAACTAGACATTGTAGTGGGAAAAAAGTTTAGTCCCACATAGGAAATGGAATAGTAAGAAAGGGTGTTTACAAGCCTTTCCCTTTTGTCTTATGCCTAGAACAAAACAAAGGTTATGCTCCACACCACACACGCGCGCGTCGGCCGGGTCGGGCTCGGGCTCAGGTTCAAATCGGGTCGGGTGGCGCGTGCCCACGACCTGCGGACACGAATGCATCTTCGGATATGATCAAAGTGACTGGGCAGGGTGGTCCACCATTGTCACCAATGCCTTGCGTGGCGCTGGTTTGCTTGATCATCTCACCAGTACGGGACCAGTTCCACCGTCCATCAGCACTGTTGTTTCATTCAGTATTATTGCCTCTGACATTAGTAATGTCGATCTTCAGACTGCTCGTGCTCTCTATGTCAAGGAGAGTTCAGAGTGGCAATTGCAGGAATTTCGTGTCATGGATTATCTCACTCGTTGTGTTGGCTCTGGTCTCACTGTCGAGATTGGCTCGCTTCCCTCTGCTCGGGCCATGTGGACTCGTCTCACTGAGCGTTTCACTGAGTGCTCGGGTGCACGGGAGGCATATCTTCTGCAACGCATTGCTCTACAACGCAAAGGTAGTTCATCTCTGCAGTCCCATTTTGGACAAATGCTAGCTTTTTGGACAGAGTTACGCTCCATGCTTCCTGGACGTAATTCCACATATGAAAACTGGCTAGCCTGGTACGAACGGCATGAGGTGCATCAACTATTTCAGTCCCTTCCTGAATATTCAACTATGGCTGATCAACTACTTCATCAGCCTCAATTTCCGACTTTGGCCTCAGTTATGGGAGCTCTCACTGCTTATGAGACCCGACAGCAGACAGTACGACCCAATTTGTCAACAGACACTCCTACCTCTTCACTCGAGACTGTTTTGTCTTTACCTGTCACTGCTCCTGTTATGAATCATACTTCTCCACAGGCTCCCTCTCCACAGGCTCGATCTAAGCTCTCTTGCAAATATTGCAAGAAGGAAGGACACCGTATTGAGACATGCTTCAAGCTTCATCCTGAGTTACGTTCCTCAGGTACTGGTCGTGGTCGGCGACCCCCTCAGTCTCAACCCTCTCGTACACCAGGATTGTTGGCCAATGCTATACCTTCTACTACTTCAGACTCTACTATTCAAGCTATTGAAAGTCTTCGCCGTCAACTTGATGCTTTTCAACATATCACCTCTACATCCGCCGCACAACTCTCTGGTATGCATTTTGCTGGTTCTTCAGCTAATCCTTCAGTCTCTGGTATGAATGATCTCTGGATTTTTGACTCTGGTTGTTCCTTTCATATGACTTGTAATGCCTCACTTTTATCCTCTGTCTTTACTTCATCCTCTCTTCCTCCTATCTACACAGCTGCTGGACAACCATTGTCCATTACTTAGTATGGCTCTATTACCCCACAAAATGATCCATCTGGTCGTCTAACACTTGGTCCCGTCTATGTGGCTCCTCAGTTGTGCTTGAATTTAATTTCTATTAGCTCTTTATGCATGGCGGGCTTGTTTGTCTTATTTTCTTCTGATACTTGTATTGTGCAAGATCCACAGACGGGCAAGACGGTTGGGGCGGTTCGTAGAAGGCACAAACTGTATTTTCTGGAATATCTTCACCTTCCAGATTCCATACGTCCACGTTCTCTTGTTGCTTCTCTTCGTTCGTCAAAACCCTCTACCTCGCTTCCTGCCAATTTATGGCATAGACGACTTGGTCATGTGTCTAATAAAAGGCTGGAGTGTCTTATTCAGTCTGGAGTACTTGGTCCTGTATCATCTAGTTCTAGTATTGAGTCATGTACTGGTTGCAAATTGGCAAAATTCACTGCTTTACCATTTAAAATGAGTACATCGTATCCACTTCCTTATTTGATTTAGTAACATTCTGATATTTGGGGGCCAGCTCCTTTGCCTTCTTCATCTGGCTACTTATATTATGTTAGTTTTATCGATGATTTCTCTCGTTTTACATGGGTTTACCTACTTAAGAATCGCTCTGACGTACTTACTGCTTATCAAGCCTTCGCTGCTATGATTTTCACTCAATGGCAATCTCGTATTAAAGTTTTTCGTTCTGATTATGCCAAAGAGTACCTATCCTCTACCATGCGCTCTATCATATCCTCTCATAGGACTATCTTTCAACAGTCATGTCCCTACACTCATGAGCAAAATGGTGTTGCTGAACGCAAACATCATCATATCCTCGATACTGCTCGATCAATGCTCATTTCTTACTCTGTTCCTCGTCGTTTTTGGGCTGAGGCTATTCTCACTGCGACTTATGCCATTAATATCACTCCATCTAGCTCTCTTTCCGGTGCTACTCCTTATAGTCGTGTTTATACTCATCCTCCCCGTTATGATCTAGTTCGCGTTTTTGGTTGTCGATGTTTTGTTCTTCTGTCATCTCACGAACGTGATAAATTTTCTCCCAGAGCTGTTTCTTGTGTTTATTTAGGAATTAGTTCAGAACATCGAGGTTATCGTTGTTATGATCTAGCAACTCATCGAGTTCATATATCTTGTCATGTTCAGTTCGAAGAGGATTCTCCATATTATTCTGCTTCTGATGACTTTAATTTCCTCCACTCTACTGATCATGCTTCCCGTCAACTGCACCACCCACTTCTTCACCTTAATTTTCCTTTCGAGATCTCCCTGACATCTCTCCCTCTCCTTCTGTTGACTCTTCCTCACCCGAGTCTTCTCTTACACCATCTAATCCATATCCCATGGACACAACTCTCACTCCAGAAAATACTGTTGATCTCCACGCACCTGCGCCAGCATCTCCCCCGCCTGAGGTTCCTCTTGCTCTTCGTCGAGGCAAACGCTCACATGTCATGCCTGCCCGGTATGCTTCTGTTACTTCTTATTCACCTATCTTTCATAACTTTCTTGCTGCCATTCATACTATTGTTGAGCCAAAGTCCTTCCAAGAGGCAGTTCAAATTCCAGAGTGGCGACAGGCTATGGCTGAGGAATTTCAAGCCTTTCAGCAAACTCATACCTGGGATGTTGTTCCCTGTCCTCCTGGGATCTCTCTTGTTGGCAGTAAATGGGTTTATAAGGTCAAGTTTCGTCCTGATGGCATCATGCCCATGACCTGCGGACACGAATGCATCTTCGGATTGAGGGGCTCTTAACCTACTACATTTTGAATTTTTTTTTTGCTAATTGTAACATTTAAAACATATTAAGCAATTAAAACAAACTAAGCAATTAAAACGTGTTAATCATTTGGCTGCGAAAATGAAAACGGTTAGCTAAATAAATAGGCGGGATTTATGGACTTAAATAACAAAACGGCTAGCGGGATTTGTGCGATAACGGACATGACTCTCAACCTATATAAAGACCGGTATATGCGAGGGTTAAACACAGTGAAAAACACAACATTTTCTCTCCTCTTCTCTGTTCTTCATCTTCGTGTTCTTGCTGTTAAATCATTGTTAGTTCCCTGAAAGTCGAGAAGAATTCACAAAGCCTTCTTGAAGCTCGTGCCGATGAGAAGGAGGTCGCCTGACCGAGGGTCGTTGTATCTCCGAGAACTTTTGCCGCGTAGCCCTGTACGAGAGGGGGCAATTAGATTCTTGGGACAATGCCTTACACGCTTCGGCCATCAGGCCATATTTCTAACTTTCATTTATTTTCATTTGCTTTAATTTCATTTCTGAGTTACAATAGTGATCTGATATTATCT